GAAGAATGGTTGACTGATCCAGCCTGGGGAAATCAGTGAGGGCCTTCAGGAGGAGGTGGCCCAAGTGGAATCTTGATGGACAAATAGTGAGGAGAGGGGACTTGGAAGGCAGTCTGGGCAAGGAGAACCGCGAGCGCAAAGGCATGGAGGCACAGCGGGCCTAGAGCAGCCACCTTGGGGCCCTCATCACTGTTTTTATTGTCTTCCTCTTCAAGCACTGGTGTCTGCATGGCAGGCCAGAAAGCTCCCATGGTAGGGGAGGTGGTGTCACGTGGTCCACTGCTGAGGACCGTGCATGCCCTGAGAGCCACCTCCTTGTCTTTGAACAGGTCAGAAGGCGTGGAGCCTCAGTTAGGTGCTACTGTGTCTTTAATGCCTTTCCTCTCGGACACTTGCCACTTTCTGCCCTCACCTCGAGCTTTTAAAAACATTAGGCTTTGTGGGACATTCACAGAAACGTCCCACCACTTGATTGCGGGGGCGGTTACAAGGGTGTCTGTAGCATTGGGCAAAACTCATTGAACCCTGCACTCCAAATCTGCGTACATAAACTATACCTCAATAAACAAAGGGCATCGGGTGGGAACAAGAGTGGGTCTCCGGCTCAGAGCCTTTGTTTGGCTGGCCACAGTGTCTCACTTGAATTTAGTAACTTTTATTTTTATTGTGTTTTTACCCTACCTTCTATTTATGGAGGTGACACTGATTTTCCATTTGTGGTAGTGGTGTCAAATTTCCCCTTTAAATTAAAAAAACAAAAGTAACATGTGAATGGATTTAAATAGACGTATTAAGTAAATAATGTTTACCGGTGGTACGTGCTGGCTATAGCAAAGATCATGCACGTGGTTAGAAAAGCGGGATTTCTGGTGACCTTTCTGAGGAAAAGCTGGGGCTCTGAGATTGGAGCCAACTTCACCCAGCGCTGTGTGGGCGCCGCGGGGACTGCGAAGGGCGCTGTCGTGAGGCTGGCAGTCGCTTAGGGAGAAACGGCGAAGGGTCCTCGCTACTTAGGGGTTTGAGGGGCGAGCCCATGGTCTGTGAGACTTACTGTCGGTTGGCCAGAGGACTGAGAATGGAAAGATTATCAATTACCTTCATTTTTCCTGCTTGCTCTCTGACTGTCAGTATCTCGGGGGAAGAAGAAGAAGAAGAGAAAAGCTCTGCTGCTCGGATGAGCATTCAAACCAACATAAACGCTTCAAATACTTCTGCTCAGCAAAGCGGGCTGTCTGTTCCTCACTGCTTCTGGGGAGCCAGGCTCTGTGACTTTTCACATCAGCCTGGACGGGCCCTTTCTGATAAGATACAATGCTGGTTTTCTGATAAGGCTGGAATTTTTGCTAAGAGACCTTGTGTATTTTGTTTTGCCAGTTCGCAGGGTAGTGGATTATCAGAATATTGTTATGGATTTGACATTAATCTCTTTGTAGGCTAAAAACCTATGCGCTGCCAGGCGGGCGTGCGTGCGTGTGTATGTGTGCAGGCGCACGTACCAATCCAAGTTTCTATCGACCTGCAGCTTCGCATGAACGCTAGACCCTACGGAGTCTAGCTAGAAAAACCAGAGGACTTTACAGAAGCAACCAAGGAGGCATAGAGCTGCTTGGGTAGCAGACTTCTCCAGGGTCACACGGCTAGCGAGCGACCGAGGAGGACTCCCTCTCAATCTCCTGCGTCCTAAACCAGGGGGTCATTACTGTGTTTCATGCTACGGCACCACCACCTTTAAAATAAAATAGAAACGTGTTTCTTGGGGGACCTGTGTTTCTTTTTTCAGGGTGCTACAGAAATCAGTGTCCCCTTTCTGCCAGACCACTGCCCTCCCAACCCAGTACTTAGTTCCCCTCCTTTCTGTTTCCTGTAGCTTCCACCCCCAGTGTGCGCGCGTGCGCACGAGCGTGCATACTGTATGCATTTTTCTCTTTTAACACTGTATCTTGTGGCCATTCTGTTTTCATGCAGAAAGAACTCTTTCATCCCTTTCTATAGCTGTATTGTATCCCATTATGTGAGCGAACCAGAATTGAACCCATCCCCGGTGCATGGCCACCAGGTTGCTTCTAGTCCTTGGGGGTTACAGATAGGGCAGCACTAACCCATCGTATGCACACTTCGTTTTGCTCATGGGAGACTTTATCTGCAGGATCAGTCTCTAAAAGTGCCATTGCTTGTTTCCAAGGATGTGTCTGTTTGGGATTTTCAAAGATATTACCGAATTACTTTCTTTCTACCTTTTGGTTTGGATAGTAGCATCTTTGAGTAGTAGTTTACTTTAATATTTCACATAGACATTTCTGAACTTAGTTTTTATTTATTTGTTCACCCAACCCACAGATGATTTTTTTGAGGGCTTGCTTTGTGGCAGGTCCTGTTCCCGTGCTAGGAATACAGCAGGGAGGGAGGGAGTCCTCCTGCAGCTGACTGACTGGGGAGATGGGGCTGGAGGTTGGGGGAGTGGCCAGAAATGAATAATTGGAATTGTGGGTAGTGCCTGGAGCACAGCAGAGAAGTGTGAATGGGGTCCGAACTAGCCAAGGAGGTCAGGAAGCCTCCCAAGCACCCAATACTTTACCTGGAGGGAGGGAGTGGCTTCAGTTATGTAGATAAGGGGCTTGAGTATGGGTAAGAGTGGAACAGTTGAGGCTGAGGAACAGCCAGTGCCAAGGTCCTGAGGCAGAAAGGAGCTCGGTGCTTTCTATGAACAGAAAGAGCCTGTCTGGCTAGAGTCCAGCGAGAGAGGTGAAGCTGGATGGGCAGGCAGGGCCTGGCCAGGCCGGCCTCATTGGGTTAACTTTACCCTAAGAGCTGCGGGAAGTGATTTCTGGGCTCCCCCTGGAGTGGGGGCACCATCTGGACCCCGAAAGACCAACTCAGCTACATGAGACAGCAGAGACTCCAGAATGGCCCAGAAAGCCCCACGGGAGGTGGAGGGTCGCCTGCGCAGCCTCCTTCCTCCCCCAAACAGGCTGGGAGCACAACTTTAGGAAGAGGTCCCGTTTACGTCTGGCAGGCCCTTGGATGTGATTCTTTCATTCACTTATTTGCTCAGTCACTCAGCAAATGTCTCTGGACAGCCCACAGGCGCCTATGCCAGGCGCTTGGCGAGCAGCACCGCACAGCAAAGGACATGGCTCCGACCTGGGGGAGCGGAGACCCCAGCGCAGGGCTCACGTACCCCCACAAACAGCCAGGCGGTAGATATGGTGGGCTTTGTGGACCCTGGGGTCTCTGTCACAGCGACATGCTCTGCTGTTGCCGTGCAAAAGCAAGCCACGGACCACACGTCAACACACAGAAGTGGTGTGTCCCAGGGAAACTTCGGAGGCACAATCCGCGGGCCGGGTTTGGCCCATGGGCGGCCGTTTGCCTGCCCTCGGTCTAGTGGAGTGGAACTCCCTAAACAGACAGCTATTTGATGTGCTGTGAGCTGATGACGCAGTGACTAGTGTTGGTGGAGAAAAGATGTCAGGGAAACGGGGTGAAAAAAACCCCTGGGGTGAGGATGGAGACCATCTTTTTGACGGGCCAACGGGAGGAGGCGTTGGCTGGCTGCATAGACACGTGAAGGAGTGAAGGGAAGCAGCTGGAGTAAGACCTGGGTGTGGGGGGGGGGGGCGCAAGTTTCCAGGCAAAGGGAAAAACACTCAAGGACTCGGAGTCAGACTGTGCTGGAAGGAAAGCAAAGGTGTCGGCCGGGCGGGCGCTGAGTCAGGCTGGAGAAACGTGGGGAGGCGGGAGGGGGGCGTCCGACAGGCCGGGGCATAGGAGCGAGCGTGCTTAGGATTCTCGATCCCAACTAAAGTGTCAGGGAAAGCCTTTCAAGTAGATTTCACAAACAGACGTTTCAAAGACCACTGCACGGAGAGTGGGACATTCAAGACAAGGGCAGAGATAGGGAGGCCGGGGATAAGGCCACCACAGGGGTTCCCGCGGGAGAGGACGGTGGCTTGGACCAGGCTGGTTGTAGTGGGGGGTGGGGTTTGTTTTATAATTAACAGTAGAGCAGTCAGGCTTCGCTGATGGGTTAGACATACGGGCGTGACAGAGAAGAGTCAAGACCAAATCTAGTAACGAGAGGGTGGAGGCACCTCTGTTGAGCTGGAGAGAGTGACTGAAGGGGCAAAGGGGGAGGGGCAGTGGGAATGGATAGCTGGTCCCCTCACTAATTCACCCTCCAGCCCTGGGCCCCTTCGAGGTGGCAGCAGTAGCCGGAGCCAGACGGCCCCTCTTAAAGAAGGAACTAGGGCCTTCTCCACCTACTGGTTTTGATAGTATGGGAGACCGGGTAGCCAGAGCCTTGCCTTTTGCAAGCCAAGTGTTTTGTCCATGGGATTTCTAATTCTGCTAATCCTGTGTCTTAGGGTGAATCTCTCCCCCTCTTTATTTGTAAAATGGCAAGTAAGATGAGGAGCAGTCCTGGCTCTGAGCTGGGCTACTTCTCTCACTGGGATGTGGGTATCTGGGGCTTGATCCCGGAGTTCCTAGACCCGAGATTTTCCATCTGTGGGTCTCCACCCACCCACTGGCCGGATAAGAAACCTGTTGACTGGGTTGGGACCAGCATTTAAACAAAGTAACCTCAGACAGGAAGGAAGATGAGTTTATCACTGGTAGCAGGGTAAGTATTGCTTTGGGAAACCTCTGTTTCAATTGGGAGTGAACACGATGGTGTGCAGTAGGTTGTGAGAAGTGTGAGCAGAGCTGGTCGCCCAGGTCCCTGGCGGCGGCTGCCTGGCGTGGCCCCGCGGCGCCTCGGGCACCTGCGCGAAAGCCTTCCCACTTAGACCTCGCCCTTCGCGGACTCCGGGATGATGTGGCCTGCTTTTCCTTCTGGTGAGGGCAGGAGGTTGCGGCTTGGGGTTTGGCTGGTGGGAATTAAAATAATACTATAATGATAATAATAATAATCAGCAGGAAACAAACCCAGCCTGTGATTGCTCTGCATTGGGAGTTCTGTTTTAGAGGCTTAAAAAGACCCCCCCCCCTTCTCTTTCCAGAGGAACCGAATGCACATAAGGTCGCCAGCCCACACTCCGGACTTGCGTACTCTGATGATGGCCTGGACTATGGCCTCAAGCCCTACAGCCCCCTCGCCAGTTTCTCTGGCGAGCCCCCCGGCCGATTCGGAGAGCCGGATAGGGTAGGGCCGCAGAACTTTCTGAGCCCGGTCAAGCCAGCGGGGGCCTCGGGCCTGAGCCCTCGGATCGAGATCACTCCGTCCCACGAACTGATGCAGGCAGGGGGGCTCCGCGTGAGAGACACTGGCCTCCTGGGGGAGCAGGCGCCCCTGGCGGGGGTGGCCGCCAGCCCGAGGTTCACGCTGCCCGTGCCCGGCTTCGAGGGCTACCGCGAGCCGCTTTGCTTGAGCCCCGCTAGCAGCGGCTCCTCTGCCAGCTTCATTTCCGACACCTTCTCTCCCTACACCTCGCCCTGCGTCTCGCCCAATAACGGCGGGCCCGACGACCTGTGCCCCCAGTTTCAAAACATCCCTGCTCATTATTCCCCCAGAACCTCGCCAATAATGTCACCTCGAACCAGCCTCGCTGAGGACAGCTGCCTGGGCCGCCACTCGCCCGTGCCCCGTCCGGCCTCCCGCTCCTCGTCGCCTGGTGCCAAGCGGAGGCACTCGTGCGCCGAGGCCTTGGCCGCTCCGCTGCCCGGAGCCTCGCCCCAGCACTCCCGCAGCCCCTCGCCGCAGCCCCCGGACGACGGCCCCCCCCCTGGCTACCCCCCAACGGCCGGCTCTGCCGTCCTCATGGACGCCCTGAACAGCCTCGCCCCGGACTCGCCCTGTGGCGTCCCCCCCAAGATGTGGAAGACCAGCCCGGACCCGTCGCCGGTGTCCGCCGCCCCACCCAAGGCCGGCCTGCCCCGTCACATCTACCCGGCCATGGAGTTCCTGGGGCCCTGCGAGCAGGAGGAGCGGAGGAACTCGGCCCCCGAGTCTATCTTGTTGATGCCGCCCACGTGGCCCAAGCAGCTGGTGCCGGCCATTCCCATCTGCAGGTGAGCGGGGCTCCGAGAACGCGTCCTTCCGCGGTTGGGTGGGGAACATCGGCATATAGAAGGGTGGAACATTCAGTCTCTGCAGGAAAAAAATTGATTTTGGAGCGCTTATTGGGCTTATATAATCTCAGTACCCCGATCTCACAGTTGGGGACACTAGGCCCAGGGAGGTGAAGGCGTTTCCTCAAGGTCCCGCGGGTCGCCAGAGGTGGTGCTGGGGCTTGACCTTGGGTGTGTCACTCCAGTCGTGTCCTTGACCTTTACCCTTCATTAAATATTAGGGAGCTCATTCATTCCAAAACCAGGCACCTCTCTGTGGTTGGATGCTCTATCCTGGACGCGATGAATAAAAACTGTGCCGTGAAATGTCCCCTCTCTAAAATTTATGTTTAATTGAGATCATCATACATAAACATAAGAGCTGAAACAACTCTCAGATGCCCTCGAAGCCTTTTGTTGTGTGGTTCTAGGAGGCTGAGGATAAGCAAGTGAAGCTACTTGCCTAAAGTTCCATGGCAAGTTAGTGACATGTGGGACCCCTGCTTGTCACTTCGGTGTTCCTTCTCCCACTAAAGTGAAGAAGAAAACATGCTTGCTGAGGGTTTTTGGGAGGTGGGAGGTGATACTTGTAAAAATTCTCAGAGGAAAGGAAGGTACAGCAGTTAGAGACATGCTAGAACTAGAATGCAGGGTCCGGCACAAGTAACGTCACTCTTTTGTTACAAAATCTTCTATCACAAAATCATATGCATGTAATTCTGTAACATTATGTCACACTCAAGCACACCATATGCCATTTTAGGCATAATGTCCAAATTAAAACTATAAATTACTACACCCATATTATTATCCTACCACCCACACTCAGGCAGGTGCTGCTTCTGCTGGGCGCTGTATAATGAAATTAGCTTCATGAGCTGAGATGTCAGGCACACTGTCTTCATCAAGGTGGATGAGGAAGCAAAGAGAAGGATCTCCGTCTTATGAAGGGCCCTACCTATCATGTTGGAGAAATATGTGCCTCCCAGCAGCGTTTTATTCGTATGCCCAGTGGACATGATTTTCAGAAAAGGGGCCATTTACGTTTATTGTACCTGTGACGGACTCTGTTTCCTCCTTCAGTATCCCGGTGACCGCATCCCTCCCGCCGCTGGAGTGGCCGCTCTCCCACCAGTCGGGCTCCTATGAGCTGCGGATTGAGGTGCAGCCCAAGCCACATCACCGGGCCCACTATGAGACGGAAGGTAGCCGAGGCGCCGTCAAAGCTCCAACCGGCGGCCACCCCGTGGTTCAGGTGGGGACTTGAATTCTTTTTATTTTGTGTTCCTCATTTGTTACTAGGTGGTTTGCTTCTGCTAAGCCGTTGCCTGTGGTGTGTCAGGTTGAGGGATGTGACTCAGCCTTTCATGCCCCTGCGGGATGGGAAATTTAAGATTGAAGGAGTGTCAGGAGCGAATCCAGCCACAAAGGAGCCAGAGAAGAAAGTCTCGAGCTGGATAAGGATAGAAATGATATTCATGCTCAGAGTACGCCTTCCCTTCTCTTTCTGAGAAGCTGGTTGAGTTTTGCGTGCATTTGTATGTTGACGGAAGGTTTCTGAAGCTGTCATTTTGTGTTTGAACTTCAGGTGAGAGTTTATAGATGAAAATCAACATGCTCTTGAAGTAGAAACATTTTGAAACTACATATAGTCAAAGTACCTAGAATAATTATTATTAACATTTTGATATATTTCCTGTTGTCTTTTTTCTGTTCACAAATATGGCATTGTCTATTACCATACATTTATACACTTGATGTTATAGTAGTTTGTACTCTGCTATTTTTTACTTTACCTTATACCATGAATATTTCCTCCTGTTTTTTTTCTTAATAGTTATCTTTTATGTCTGTTGCTTTTAATATAACCTCAGATTTTTTTTTCTTAAAATAAGTAAAGAAGTGTTCTTTTTTCTCCAAAAGTAATTAGAGCTGACATAGTCTTAATTATATAGTCTGGTTAACCAGCAACTGCTGACTAGTGCCCACCAACCAACTCAACTAGACCTTCGATACATTTACATTAGTTTAACTTTTTTTTGTATTTGCCTGAAAGATATTATATGATAAGAATTCTGTGATAAGCATCTGATGCAATTGTACATCAGACCTCTTTAGAGTAGTTATTAAAAATACAGATTCTTGAGTATCTTCTTGAAACTTCTTAATCAGAAGCTATAGAGTTCAGATAACAAACAAACAAATGTAAAACCCCCAAATCTTCATGGGGCTTTGGCTCTGTGTACCTGGTTAAGGACTTTTATGATAATATTAGGAGCTTAAATCCTGGCAGTTGCTTTTTCTAAATGTGACATCGCAGCCATCTTGGGATCGGTTTCTATTCATTGCTCCTTTTCCCTGACCATGAGTCACTCTTTCTTCTTTCTATACATGTCTAGTAATTGTCGACTGTATTTTGACATTGTGGTGATGATACATATTGGACATTGTAGCGACTCTGGATTTTGTTAGGATGGGAGCCAGAAGGATCCCATCCTAAAATAGGAGGATGGCATTAGTCTGTGTGTTGGAGTTAAGGTCTTTGGTAATGATGGTCAAACGCATGCAAAGCAGGTTAGAAAAGGGGGATTCTGTGAGGAGGCTATTGCATAAAACCAGGCCAGTAGATACAATCCAAGAAGAACTGTGACTTGGGAAGATACCGCCTACGTCTTCTTTGCTCAGTCAGTCCATTCAACAAGTGGATTCATCCTGCAAGTATTTGATGGGCACCTGCTTTTTGTCATATACTGTACTTGATGCTGAAATACAGTGAAAAATAAAACAGAAGTTATGATCTCTTTCCTCATGGGGCTCACGTTCTAGGGGGAAAGAGTCATCGACTAATCAGACAAATGATAAAGGGACAAACCGCGGCAAGTGGCATGAAGGAAGAGTGCATGGGGCTCCGGGAGGAGGAGCTAATGTAGATGGGAAGGACATTTCTTGAGATTTCCCTGAGGAGGAGACTAGAGCTGAGAGGATGCATGGGGGGAACCTCACGTGCAAATGTCCGGAGGCAGAAGGAAGCAAAAGGAACCCCACAGAGGACCTTCAGGTTAAGGAGGCGTGTGTCGCTGGAGTGTGAGGGGCCGGAGGGAGTGTAGAGAGAGGCAGAAAGGGGGCTGCAGGACCTGGGTCACCTCAGGGAAAAGTTTGGCTTTTAGCCAGAGATGTGAAAAGCAGGAAAGAAACATGATGTGATTTAGGCTTTGATAAGACCCCTCTCTGATTGCTCCTCCGGGGGTAGTAGCTGAGATAAGGAGGAGTTAGGAGGCTCTCTTAGGATTTCTTCATTCTCTGATCACTCAACAAGTATTTGTTGAGCGCTATTATGTACCAGGCATGGTTCTAGATTCTGGGGTAGGCTATGAACAAAACAGCCAGAAATCCTCACCCTCTCAAGCTTACAGTGTAGCAAGATGATAATGATAGCATCTAGCACATGTCAGAACCTGGTTCAAGTGCTATATGTGTTAACTTATTTAATTTTAACAAGAGCCCTGTGGAGCAGGTTATGGTTAGGTCAAGGAGTTGTCAAGGAACTCATTCAAGGTCATAGTTACGGAGTGGTGGACACTGGATTTAGACTCAGGGGATCTGGCTGTACCTGCTACACAGTTTTCCTGATCTTCTGCGTCTCTCTGCAGACCAGCCTCCCTTGCCTTCTCACTCATACCAGGAGAGAAGGTGTGGGGGGAATTGCCCACAACTCCTGCCTCTAAGTTTGATACGCTAACCCAGTGCCAGCCCCCTCACCAGCTCATTGGAGCCCAAACCCCGATTCTCAGGGAGATTCTAATGGGACCTGGTTGGGTGGGGTGCCGACCACCAGTCCACTTAGCTTGGCCAGCAAGGTCAGGCCTTGTACAGTGTAAGCTTTGCTCACCCATTCATCAGGGCTGGGGCCATGGAAAGTTCCAGAGAAGAGAATGGGCTGAAGGTGCAGTTCAAAAGAAACCCTGTATACAGCCCTTGAAGATCATGCCCTTCCTTCCAGCAGCCCCCAAGGATCTGTTCTTATTCTTGCTCATGACTTTGAGAACTCAACATATGAATTAAAAATTCGTAGTCATCACAGAAGACATAAAGTGTGAAGTATCTTGTTAAAAAATCATTTGCATAGTTTCTGTGCTCTTCAAAATGAAATGTGCTAACCCCTGATTTTTAGCGTAGGTAGTCAGTTTTTTAAAAACTTCTTTGAAAAATGAAGAAGAGAGGGACTTTACGAAGAAAATGCTCTTAACCTTTAGGCAGGTGCGAAAACCCCTTTCGAAATCTGGAGGGTGTCCTTCTGTTCCCAGAAGAGCAGCAAAGCCCTGTTTTGTGCCTTGCCTAGAATCTTCTGCTGGTTTCTCTCTTGATCTCTGTCTCTCTCTTTATCTCTCCATCTGCTTCTATTTTTGTGCTGCACCGCGGCTCCTTCCCCCCTCAATGATTGGTCCCCACCCTGCCCTTTTTTTATTTGCCACACTATAAAACTTAATCTTTTTTTGCATGTCTAGTGGTTTTATGCTCTTCTTTATGTGAAAATAAAAGGTGTACAAGACCATTTTGTTCTCTGCCTTTAAATATAAAATTTAAAATCTTAAAAGCATATGCCATGTTCAGCTGTGGGTTTTTTTTTTTTTTTTTTTTTTTCCTGTCCTGCATGTCACTTGATCTTGGAAGAAAGTTTGTTCCAAACCTTAAATGCGTTTCGGACCTCATGACTCATTCATTTGGCGAACACTTTGGTGAGGCCCTGCTGTGTGCCAGGCACAGGTGCCGATAAAATAATGATGGGTGGGGTGGGCACAGCACCGCCCCGCTGGAGCCCACGGGCACTACAGTGCAGAGGAGACCAGGATGGCTTGGCATGACCATCGCTGAGGTGCACGTGGGTCAGGGAGGCCAGGCAAGGGCCGTCTGGAACGACACATGGACTCCTGGGTAAGACATGATGGCCGCCCAGGAGCTCATATGTTGGATTCACAACTTGGGGGTAACTCCTTCAACAAAACCACACCAAGAGAGGACTTGGAAGACCTGTTTAGACGGAGGGTCCTGCTGGGGATATGACTCACCAGTTGGGACCTGGAGCAGGTGATAGAGCCAGCAAAGAGAAGAAGGATGCCCTTCCTTTCTCTGTGGTGCTGTCTGCTTTCTCTTTTGGTGGTGGTAGGAGAGTGATCTATGCACAGAGGCGGTGCATGCAAAGGCCCCGGGGCAGGGAAGAACGTGGTATGTCTGAAGAACTGAAGGAGCGCCAGTGTCACTTGAGTTTAGCTTGGAGGGTGGCGGGTTGTCAGGGCCAGAACATGTAAGACTCCTCTGCCCAAGTGGGCAGCTAGGATTTTAGTCCAGGGCAAGGGGAAAGGAGCGACGAGCTTTGAGTAGGGGAGGAAGGTGATTCTGACTCAATATTTTTAGGACCACTCGGTCTTCTCTCTAGAGAGCGCGTTAGACGGACTGAAGGAGGAAGCAGGGAGATAATTCCATGGGCTGGGGCAGCGGCAGGTGAGGAGTCCAGGTGGTGGGGCCGCGGAGGAGGCTGTGGGAGGAGCTTCCGGCCTTGGCGCTGGCTGAGGTGTGGGAGGTGAAGCAGCGCCTGGGCGGAGGGCGGTGTCCTCTGCGATGTGGGAAGAAGTTTCTTAGGGGAAGATCATGAGTTCAGTTGGGGTGTAGGAAGAGGGAAGGGCTTGTGAAGCATCCAAGCAAAGATGTCACGTAGGCAGTGAGGGCCGTGGGCCTGGAACTCAGAAGCACAGCCCTGACTCGCCAGCCGTCCGGCCGGCAGAGCGGCGGGGGCCACGCGCGCCATCGCTGGTGGGCTTGGCGCACATCCTGTGTGTGGGTCTGTTCCTCCCACGCCCTGTTGCAACTGTCCTCTCTCTCCAGAAGCAGGGGACTGAGGGGCCAGCCAAAGAGGAGGCTGGAGAAACAGGAACACGAACTGACAAGCTCGTGGGGGTCAGGCAGTGAAAGGAAATGACTGCGTTGGCCACGTGTTGGAGCAAGAGGGGGCGGTGGGAGTAGGTCGCAGCCGCAGGGGAGCCTCGCCTCAGGGAGGCGGCCACCCTTCGGCCCCCGGTGGCCGTGCCACGCGAGAACGTGGGCCCCGCGTTGCCAGCCTCTGTGGTTTTGTGCTTTTTTCCCAAGAGGAGCTAGGATTCTGAATTTTTATGTGACCTTCCTGATTATGAAGTTTTGGCTACTAAACCAACCTTTGGGTTAGATTTGGCTCATGACAAATATCAAGTTCATATCCTCTGG